AGAAAGAAAGAAAGAAAGAAAGAAAGAAAGAAAGAAAGAAAGAAAGAAAGAAAGAAAGAAAGAAAGAAAGAAAGAAAAAAAAGAAAGAAAGAAAAAGGCCCGAGTAAAGAGAAGAACAAGTTGCAGGCCTACGCTTTTGCTAGGTCAATAAGACATGGTTAATTTGACAGCAAAGAGACACCAAGTATAGAGGTGATGAGGTAGTGTATGGAAGCTACAGGGTTACATAAAGATTGAGGAGGAAAAAGGCTCAGAAAAGAGAATGTTAGAAAATGAAAATGGCAACAATATATCTTGTGAATCTCCTCAGCCCCTCCACACAATCAGCAGAGAATCCAGAAGAGTAAAGCTGAAGCTTGCACAGATCCACAGATACATGAGAGAACAAATAAGTGTGTGCATATACAAGTAAGACCCACTTAATACAACACTAGGGTGGTGTAAGTATATACACAAGAGGAAGCAGGAAGCCTGATGAATAGAACAACCAGATTTCTCCAATGGCTGTACATTCTCAATCAAAGCACAGCAGGCCAATTTAGAAACAAAATGGAGATGTATACTGCTACATATAGACAGGTACAGCAGGCTTATGGTCAAGTCTGAAGACTGTGGCACTTTTTTTTTTTTTTTTTTTTTTGGTTTTTCGAGACAGGGTTTCTCTGTGTAGCTTTGCGCCTTTCCTAGAACTCACTTTGGAGATCAGGCTGGCCTCGAACTCACAGAGATCTGCCCACCTATGCCTCCCGAGTGCTAAGATTAAAGGCGTGCACCGCCACCGCCCGACAACTGTGGCACATTCTAAATCACCACTAAAAGAATTTACTGCAATGATACTCTGTATCAGCAATGACCAGCACCTAGGCTACTAGCCAGCTCTATGTGGCTATTGTAAACATCTGTAACATAGCTAGTACAGATGAGGAATCAAATGTTTGGTTTTATTTAACTTTAAGTAGCTATATATGATGCAGCTATCAAATTCCACTAGGCAATAAAGGTCTAAATCATCCAACTGAAGAATCAGTTATTCTAAGAAGCAGCCTACAGTGAAAAGAAAATGCTGAAATGAAACTCCAGATTGACCATAGGGGAAAATAGGTAAATGAAATGGGATTAGATAAAGGTAAGTAAGAAAAAAGAAGGCAGCCAAGAGAACTCCGAAAGAGTGAAATCATCTTATTTCGCTGTTTTATGAAATTAACTTCACCTGTGGGTTGTAGGACTCCAACTCAGGTCATTGACTTTGGTGGCAAGCACCTTTGCTACTCGGTCATCTTCCAGGCCCCTAGACTTGTTTCTTCTCCTCCAATGCTCAGGCTTGGATGTCCTGTCCTATATTGCTTTCCATGTGCACATCCTCCTTAAGCCATTCAAACTCTATGCTAATACACTCCCCTACCATCCCCCCATACAGAAGATTCACACAGCCCACCACCCCTTTCTGGGCTCACTCAGGTGCCGACACCCATTTAGGGATATCTTTCTTATAAACCCCATCCTTATCTGGGGGAGGGGGAGTTGTTATCCTGTGACCCACACTCCCTTCCTCCCTGGTTGAACCAATGCCCCATTCCTCATCTCCCTCTGCAGAGTCGTCTCTCCTTGTCCCAGTCATTGTCTGACTCTGCTGAGCCTGCTACATAGAGGCATTCTTTTTCTGCCGTATGCTGTTTCCTCCACATAAGGCCTTTTTCACCCTGATCAGACTTCCCCAAACATGTACAAAGACGCCTACATGCTCTGCTGTACCTGATGGGTTCTGTACTGAATGAGTATATAGAGGGAGAGGAGGAAACAGAGGAGCCAGCATTTTCTGTGAAAACATTATGACTGTAGTTTAGGTTGGTAAGAAACAGGCTCCAGCCAGGGTGGTAGATATCCGGAGAGTCTAGAAACAACATTTGGGAAGTGGCTTTTGGAGCTTCAATAGTGGTTGGGTAAATAGGTATAAATAGGTTCTTCATTTGTGAATTGAGTATAAATAGGTTCTTGAAGAATCAAGGCTTCTTGCTGGACATGGTTAATCCCAGCACTCGGGAAGTAGAAGCCAGCCTGGTCTACAAAGCAAGTTTCAGGACAGTCAGGGCTACACAGAAAAACCCTGTCTTTAAAAAAAAAAAAAAAGGAGGGGAGGGGAGGATCAAGGACTCTGTGTATAAAATTTGGGTAGCTGTAAATTCAAAATAGCAAGAAAATGAATAAACTACAGCTCAAGCATTCAGGGGAGTGTAAAGCTAGAATTCATTTCTTGACAAAAATTAGTTTGGCTCCATGCTAATACCTTTGCCTACAGATGTCTTTATAATATCTATATTGTTTTTAAAATGATTATGTAATTTCTGTTTCATGAGCTCAGTATTAAATTTTAGGTTGTTTCCCATTCTGCCCAACTTTAGTGATTCACATACTATTAGCTTGGCCATATCCTGTACCATTTATTCCTGGCTTAGCAATTTGCAATTGGCTTACCTTTTTCATTTAACTTTGTTATAGGAATACTAATTTTGTTTGATTGCCAATTGTATATTTAAAATGACATTAAAATGAAAAGAAAACTTTACAATTTTTAAGTTTATTAATCACTACATAAAGCACTATTATGTATGTAATATGTAACCAAAGACACAGAATCCTCTGAGGGAATATGCTTAATATAACCAGCTACAATATTCCAGGGGTATACTTTAATTTTGTAATGGATTAATAATTAATAATAATGTATATGTCTTGCAATGTCCTTGAAGGCCAGAAAAGGAAGTCAGAACCCCTGGGCCTGGAGTTTAAAGATGGCCATGAGCTGCTATGTGGATGCTGGGAACCAAACTAGGTCCTCTGGAACAGCAATGAGTGCTCTCAACCACTCAGCCTATTTTCCAGTCCAATATACTTTCTTTTTGTTTGTTTTTGTTTTTGTTTTTTCAGACAGGGTTTCTCTGTGTAACAGTCTTGGCTGTCCTGGAACTCTCTTTGTAGACCAGGCTGGCCTTGAACTCACTGAGATCCGCCTGTCTCTGCCTCTTAAGTGCTGGGATTAAAGGCTTGCACCACCACCACCACCACCACCACCACCACCACCACCACCACCACCACCACCACCACCACCACCACCACCACCACCACCACCACCACCACCACCACCACCACCACCACCACCACCGCCCGGTGCAATACACTTTCTTAATGTGTTTGTTTCCTGATATATAAAGACAACATGTCGGGTGCTTTTCCTCCTCATAGGCTTATTTTCTTTGTTTTTTTCCCTGTATGTACACTAAGTGAAATGTAATGTCATCCCTACTCCCCATTATAGTCTGAAAGGCCTTTTAGAAACTCATTAGAATGTACACAGAAGCAAACATTTTAGCCTGTGACCTTTTGAAGAATTTCTGAGTGAAACTAGAAACAAACTACCCATTGTTCACAGTGCTTTGCTTAATATTAGGCTTTCTTTTAAATAAATCCCTACTTGTTAAGATCTTTTATCTTAAGTAGATCATAATTTGTTGTAAATAGAGATCATAATTCAAAG